GCGTTTCAGCAATCACCGCTGCCCTTAGCACATGCAGTTGCATCCCATCAGGACCCATGGATTTGTGTGCATTGAGCCCACTCAGATGCCCCTGAATCACTCCCTTGTCAACAAGGCGGGAGATCTCCACTTCCCAGACTCTTTCTTTTCCCTCCAGGATCGAGGAGTCCTGGGGGGGAAGTCCTTCAAGCAAAGACTGAAGCAAAGAAAGCATTCAGTATCTCTGCCTTCTCAGCGTCTCCCATTACCAGGAACCCCCCCCTTGTTCAGCAAAGGACCCACATTATCCCTAGTCTTCCTTTTACTGTTTACATACTTTAAGAAAAAAACCACCCTTCTTATTATCTTTGATCTCTTTTGCAAGCCTCATCTCTAGGTGGGCTTTAGCCTTCCTTGTCGTGTCCCTGCAGACCCTGACAACACTTCTATACTCCTCGCAAGAGGACAGGCCCTTTTTCCACATTTCATAAACCTTCCTCGTCCTTTTGATCTTATCAATGAGCTCCTTGCTCATCCACGCAGGTTTCCTGCCCCTCTTCCCCGATTTCCTACTCTTAGGGATGCACAGATACTGAGCTTGGAAGAAGTGCTGTTTAAACGTAGCCCAGCTGTCACATGTACCCTTGCCTTCTAGCAACATAGCCCATGAGATACTCCCAAGCAGTTCCCGGAAGAGGTCGAAGTTGGCTCTCCAAAAGTCCAGGGTTGCTATCCTGGTTTTAGCCTTATAATCCTGCAGGGGCTCTCCATGGGCTGCACACTCTTCCAGGCCACATCCAACTGCTCCACCGGGGGCTCCTCCATGGGCTGCATCATGATCTGCTCTGCCGTGGCACCCATGGGCTGTACAGGGACAGCCTGCTCCACCATGGGCCTCTCCACAGGCTGTGGGGGAACTTCTGCTCCAGTGCCTGGCACACCTCTTCCCCATCATTCTTCACTAACCTGGGTTGCTTCTGACTCCTCTCTCTCCCTGCTGCTGGTGCACAGCAGAATTTTCTTTTTCTTAAATATGCTCTCACAGAGGTGGAACCAACATCGCTCAGTGGCTTGGCTCTGGCCATCAGTGGGTCCCTTTTTAACTGGCTCCTATCTCACATGGGGCAGCTTCTGGAGTCTTCTCACAGAAGCCACCCCTGCAGCTCTTCTGCTACCAAACCCTTTCCACATACACCCAAGACTGTTACTTAAATTATAATCTCATCCAGTTTTTCTCACTATAGCTAAAGGAACACAGTGGGTAAAGGAGGCTACAGCAAGAGCAAAGGAGAGAAATTTCTGATATAGAACATGTTAGGAACACAAGTCAGAGTGCATCAAAACAGGGCGAGTACATAAATGGGTGATGGTAAAAGGGCAACTTAAGCAACGGAAAGACAGAACACTTATAGAGTCCCTTCTATATTTCTACTATATATAAATTGTATATATAGTTGTGACTGTCTAACCTTGGACAGTAGCCAATGTGCACCCAACCACTCTCCTTCTGTCCTCAGCAAGATGACAAAACAAAACAAAACAAACAAAAAAAAGGAAGTCCCATGGGTCAAGATAAGGAGAAGGAGCTCAGTTAGCAATCACCATCACAGGCAAACCAGACTCAACGTGGTTAAAGTTAATTTATTTTATTGCAAAATAAAAACGTACACTTTCCCAGTCCAGCCCCTCCCTCCCCCAACTTCTCCCCTCATCCCTTCATCTCAAACTCAGTTACACTCCTTCATCCATGACTCTTCGATTTCCCTCCACCCCAAACTGTCTCACAGGCCTGGGAGTTTGCAGTCACCCTTATCACTGCTCCGCTTGGAAACTCCTTCCTCCTCAGACTTCTCCCCTGCTCTACTGCAGGCTCCCTTAAAGCTGCAGCTTCCCTTTTGACACATTCACCTGCAATGTCATGGTCCCCTCCAGGGTTTGTGCTGCAGGGGAATCTATTCTATGGTACCTACAGCACCTCCTCTTAACCTTCTTGCTCATCCTCTAGCTTTTCCTATTACTACGCTTACATCTCACCTTTTGCAGGGCCATTTCTCATAGCAGCATCTCAGCATCTACATGCAATACAGTTGTATAGAAACATATGTGTTCTTACATATAAGCACTTGCTCAGCTTAAGGAAATGGACAGCCAATCAGTTAGACACCTGAGATGGGATTTCCTGTCCTGGCCAATCGCAGCTGCAGGCAGGCCTATGGGCCATGTAGCCCTGCCCTTCACCCATGGCCCTTTCCCCACCCCAGCAGGTGGTCTGCCCAGTGCTGCCATCTGGTGGCTTGGTAGAGCCACAGGCTGGAGGCGTGGCTCTGTGGAGCAACAGCAGCGGCAGCAGTTGCACCTGTTGTGGTGCTTGGCATTTTACCGGCCATGTGGTGTCAGCAGGTACTGTGCTGCACATCATGTGTAGTCAAACAGGCCTGAAATTGTAAATTCAAGAAGGAGAGGGTCTAGCCATCATTTTTTTTTTTTTTTTTGAGTGCAATAAGGATTGCTCCTGTTCTTGGCAGAGAAGATGAGAGAACAGGTGACCTGCATATAGTGGCTGTGTTTCTGTGGTTTAAACTCTTGTGGGGCTGCTACAGATACATACATGTATATACAGTGTACAGTTACACACATAATACTGTAGATTCAGAACCAAACTTGCATGAGCTTCCACAGCCTCAAAGAGTGTATATCAACCTAACAACAGGGCTCAAAGACCCAGAATCTGCAGGGCGTATTCCAGTGGCACATTCTCTAAAAAAAATCTCCAAGGCTGCCAGAGTAGCAGGCTGTGGAGAAGAGAACGCTTTGCTTATGTACAGTGTTTCCACCTATGCAGAATATAAATAGTTTGAACGGGATGTCAGGAAAAGCATCCTTGGACTGAAGCATCTTTACTTTGTGGTTGGGTGTCTTGGTGGTAGGTGGATGTCAACACAGCACCATCAACCCTGAATCTGATCAATATAAATAAATAATCTGCTACTTAGCATGTGTTTAAAAGTGTACCACCAACCCAAATCCTCCATATTTAAAGGGTTTTATTGTAGTCTCACTGCCGTATTATTGTGAGAGCAATGTTTTTATTTTATTGTAAGAACAGATTAATTCTTGCCAAAGCTACTGCTAGATGTGAAGGGTAGTGAAGGGAACCTAAATCATAAACTCACACAGTTTTGCTTTTCCTGCCATAGCTAATGGAACTCAATATTCTACAGTGAGGAGAGGATGGGAGGCTACAACAAGAACGAAGGAGAGAATTTATTTATTTAGAATATATTAGGAACATTATTCACAGTACATCATAGTAGGGTGGTTACATAATGGGGTAATGGTAAATAGATAACTTTAAAAAAAAAAAAGCAAAGGAAAGACAAGACATAGATCATACGCTAATTATGGGAAACTGGTGGTTTTTTGTTTGTTTATTTTGTTTTGTTTTGTTTTGTTTTTCCTTTCATAAGCAAAGCCATACAAATGTTTCATACTATTTCAGCACAGGTAAAAGATTGACTTACTCAATCTGTACATTTTCCTTATTATGGATAAACATAATTATATTTGGATTAACATTATCACATATGTTACAATGTTTAATTTAAACATGGTATTATGTTTCATTGACTTGTTGGTTTAAGGTGCAATTTATCAAATTCTACAGTAAATATGTTCTTCTTAATTGTTGCTCTTTGGCACGCTTCTGGTTTATTTAAATAAAAAAGTGTAGGCCTGACTCAAGTATAGTACACTGCCATGAACAGCAGAATCTGCAGGGTTTTTTGTTAACATATGAGTGCAATTTTAGGTTTCCTATAATCTTACTTACAAACAACTGTATATGAATTTCAGTTTACAAGTAAAATGGCTAATGAATGGCAAAATGCAAGGGAAAAAAAAATGTTACAGCAATTCCTCCCTGGGGAGAGTGATTTCGCACCACAAAAATCTTGTATAAAATGTTGTAGACAATGGAGATTTCTTATTAGGAAATTCTTGTTGCTTCTTATCCTACAGCAAGCCAACAGAATACATGACTTTCTGGGTCCAGAAATGCTTCATGAGATACAATGTAGCTGATAATATATGTTGGCACTCTAAGTGGTGTCACAGCTACAAACTTGCATGCTTACACAGCCAGTCTGTGCGAAGAGCTTAGTGACAGTGGCATCTGTCTACTAAGAGGCATGCCTCCTACTCTTCATACCATACTTGTTTTTGTTCTAAGGAGGAAAGTTTTAGTTTGCATTATGTGTTGCTTTGTAGCCTGTTTTCATCTTCCTGACCTCTGGCTACTTATGGGCTGATTAATATTTGGTTAGAGTCAAGGGTGGACAAGAGTAAAGTACCATTTCTCCATCTGATGTCTATGTATCAGGATGCCACTGAAGTGGACCAAAACTGGTGAAGTTTCACTTTATCAAAACTCTTCAAAAGCCAGAAGCCAAAATCCACAGCAATGTGTTTCACATTGGAAGGCCAGCAGCTGCCATTCATAGGCAACACAAGAGGAAGTCTAGCTATGTAAGCAATGGCAGCTCTTCCATGCCCAATTATTTCACAATTAAAGAAAAATGAAACCCCATTCACACTAGAATACTTACTACAAGGCCTTGTTCTGTTCCTTTCTGACTCAATTTACCCTAGAGGTGATCTCTCAGCTGCAGAAAGGAGTATTTTGGCACATGATCAAGTTACAGTAGGTTTCTGGTACAGTGCAATGTGTTTAGAAGGCAAAGATGTCAAAAGAGATTTTGTAAAGGTGTTTTGTAATGCAGGTGAGATGTGGAATGCTGTGCTACTCCTGAGAAAAACACGTTTGGCTGTTCCAGCTATTGATCCCCATATATGAGCAAGCTGATTCCAAAGAGGCAATTCATAGCCTCACCAAGCGTGTATACCACCAAGTATTTTACAAATGTCTTTTTCTTCAACATATCAGCAAGGAGCAAAAGTGGTGAGTTCAAATTGTTGACAGAGGTGATCAGAAGGGGGCAGAACCAGTGAAGAGAATCAGTCTGTGCAGTAAATCAAATATATGTGAGATGTAATTCATTTTCAGTTACCCTTTAACTTTTTAAGAATGCATATGGCCATGTCCTTTAGTGCTCCTGTTTCATCTGAAAGCTACTTACTGGCTTTAGAACTGAGATGTCTGCGTGAAGGATATGGTGTCAGACTTATCCACAGCAAAGCCTCCATTGACATACGATTTCTTGGTCTCTGTTTCATCATTATCAAGTGTTGTTGTTTCCAAGGCAAAAGGGTTGACTATATTAACTTCAGAATTGACATCCATCTGCTCCAGCTCCTTTTTAGAGAGCTTCTCCACTATCCCTGTACCAAAGGCATCTCCCAAGACATTAACCATTGTTCTGAATCGATCCCTGTGGAATAAAAATGTCAGAGAAATCATTCAATACGTTACCTAAAAAATCCTTTTAGTAAACATAAGCGATGTTACCAAATGGTGAGCTCATGTTTTTTTGCCAGTGTGGATTCTAGGCCATTCTGGCCTTAAAGGAAAAAGTGCAGGAGGACAAGGGATCAAAGGGGAGAATTTTTGCCATATGAATTTGAACAAACCTGGTGTGACTTCCAAAATGAATGCCTTTGTACAGGATGAATGAAGCTCTAAGTCACATAACTGGTCTGTTAACAGCAGTAATCAAACTGCTGTGCAGAGACTTTAAGAAGTCTTATGTAGAGCACTTCTCAGGCCCTGGAGTATGCTACACAGCTGGCTCTCTTTGCGATGAGACCACTTTTGGAGGAATGGGAGGAGAGACTGTGGGGCACAGCATAAGTGTTTGCCTTTTGCCTTTTTGATAGTTATTTCCTCAACTACAGAAGTGCCTAGCCCAGTATTTTGGCCTAAACTCTTGCTAAAGAATTGATGTACAAAGTTGTGTTAAGTCACATTAAGAAACACTTCTTAATGCTTCTGTGCTGCAAATTTCTCTCCCAAGAGAAATGTGACCTGCAGGCCTTAAAAATATGCCATTGCTTGGCAGAAAAGCAGGAATACCATGCAAAACGTGAAAACTGGCATGGGAGACTTCAAAAACAATAATGCAGTGAATCAGTTCCCAAACATAATTCTACAACAGTTGCTGAACTCTAGCATGAACAGGTGGCTATGGATTCTTCATGTGGGAGGGGTAGGAAAAGGAAGAGGGAAGGATGTAGTAAATGTCCAGTACGATCAGTAGAATGAGTGAATCACACATTAAACTCATTTTTCATAATAATCATATTCTACTTCTTAATTATAAACATGGAAAATCTCCTCAAGCCTACATAAAAAAAAAAAAACACCTTGATGAGTTCAGAATTAACTAGAAGATTGTTAATAAGCACAACTAGCAGGTTACAAAATAATACATTTTAGGCAGTAAGTACAAAAGGCAAAAATGTTAATCTACATGTCATCATGATGTGCATCCCATCTGCTGAAGTGCAAAATGCACTGCCAATGATCCCTTGTTCATGAAATTAATCTTTAATTTTCTTTACACAGCAAGACACCTTCATCTGAAACATAAGTCAATTAGAATCAAAGACAGTTCTCTCATGGTGGAACAAGTATCTTCCATGTACTATTATTGTGCCTAAGAATCATCTAAATTGCGGACTGAAGAAAAGACAGAAAGGCCCTGCAGAGGGAACTGGTTGGGTCAATGGGCTGAGGCCAATGGGATGAGGTTCAACACAGCTAAGTGCTGGCTCCAGCGTTTTGGTCACAATCCCATGGAGCGCTACACACTGGGGGCAGAGAGGCTCAAAAGCTGTGCAGAGGAAAAGGATCCGAGGGTGTTGGTCGATGCTTGCCTGAACATGAGCCAGCAGTGTGCCTATGTGGCCAAGAAGGCCAACAGCATCCTGGCTTGTATCAGGAATAGCGCGGCCAGCAGGACCAGGAAGGTGATCGTTCCCCTGTACTTTGCTCTAGTGAGACCACACCTTGAGTACTATGTTCAGTTTTGGGCCCCTCGAGAAGGACATCGAGGACCTGAAACATGTCCAGAGAAGGGCTACAAAGCTGGTGAAGGGTCTGGAACACAGGTCCTATGAGGAATGGCTGAAAGAACTTTTTTATTTTTTAATTTTTATTTTTTGTTTTTTAGTCTGGAGAAGAGGAGGCTCAGGGGAGACCTTATTACTCTCTACAACTACTTGAAAGGAAGTTGTGGGGAGCTGGAGGTCGGCCTCTTCTCACAGATAAGTAGAGACAGGATTAGAGGGAATGTCCTGAAGTTGTACCAGGTGAGGCTGAGGTTGGAAATTAGGAGAAATTTCTTCTCAGATAGAGTAATTAGGCACTGGAACAGGTTGCCCAGGGAAGTGGTGGAGTCACCGTCCCTGGAGGTGTTTAAGGAAAGGTAGCATGTGGTGCTTGGAGACATGGTTTAGTGGGTGATATTGGTGGTAGGGGAATAGTTGGACCAGATGATCATGGAGGTCTTTTCCAACCTTGATGATTTTATGATTCTATGATAACGTGCGTTAAATTATGATTACCATAGTAAGTACAGAATGACTGTTCTCTTCCTGTCTCATTCTCATGAAGAAATTAGAGGAAATCAGGTAAAAGGATTATGAGATGGCTTAAAAAAAAAGTATTTTGTGCAGCACATTGTTAGGTTGTGGAATTCCTTTTCACAGAACATTTGGATGCTAGAAGTTGATATGGGTTCCAAAAGAAACAAGGTAATTTCATGTCAGAAGAAATCTGTTGAGCACTGTTAAAACAAAAATCACTTCTAACATGGGAACTTTATGATTTGCCACTTCCTGAAGGCTAAGAAAGCACTTTGGGAAAAGTAACAATATGCATTTGTTTTGCTCTTACATTCTTCTTTAGATAACTGCTCTGAGGCAATGATTTGTACAGATCTTCACCATCCTTAACAAAACTAAATGAGCACTGGTAAAAGAGCTGGAGAAAACAAAATGGTTGTGGAGCACAGCAAACAAACCTATTAGACACTGTTGCAGACAGTTGATGGGGGAAACGTACACTGTTTGGTGATGTTTTTTTTTTGAAGGTATGATGTTTATACTGAAATTTAATTGATTCTTGGATCCATTCAATGGCCTTGCTTTTCTGGAGAACAGTTTCTCTACAGATTGAAAAATTGAGTTATATAATCAAATAAATTAAGTGTATCTGTGAAATGCATAGGTTGCTGCCAAGAAATCCTTCAAGAAAATCATTGAAAAAGGTGGGCAAGGAAAAGGAATGAACTTACTTCGAGGGTAAATATAAGCCTAAGAAAATGAAATGCAGAGTCTATGAAATGATTAGTATCTGTGGATTGGTACCAATAAAATATCACCCATGATGAGTTAATGCTGGTGATTAAGACCTCAGTCTGAGCATGATAAGCTGAGTGCCCAGTCTGATAAGCTAAGTGTCCAGTCTGAGCCTGGACACTTTAGGAGGCAGAAAAAAGCTGTATTATAAACTAAAGTTATACTCCTTTACTTGGGAATCTTGTTATCCTTTCCCAGTGAATCATGGGACAAAACTGAACACCTATTCCTTTTTGAACTCCAGAATACATGATGTCATTCTTTGGGGTTGTTGCAGAAGTTTCTTAGAAATGTCTTGTTTGAACAGAAGACTTCTGGTTAAGTGCTTCTTTCCAGAAGGTGATGCCTAATGGGACTGAGGTTTTTATGTGCTCTAAGGTGAAGTGGTTGGGATCAGGGGTAAGTAGTGCTTTCTGAATTTGCATGCGTGCTTGCTGGTCATGGGGCTGTATCCTTAAGAAACTGTCTCACTGAAAAGCAGCTCAAGCAAACTGATGCTGGCAGAATGTGCCCTTGTAGAGCCTGTCGTGTGTGCATATAGAATCAAGGTCCAACTTTGCTTAGTTCATGTGCTCCACTCCATCTTCACCAGCGTATGGCATTTATGTACTTTGTTAAAATCAGCTGAGATGATTCTGCTTGTGGCTGCATTTGATTTTTGTGAATGGTGTATCTATTTAGTAAAATATGGTAGCAGTTGAGAAACTCCAAAGGTGCTCCTCAGTACTGTGAAACATGCCTTTCCTGAGCGTTACACTAACAATTTAACAATGTTGTGCCCACTGGCTGAACAGAATCTCTGGATGTGAGGTTATTAACTTCCATCCCACACTGTAGGACTTCTCATAGAATTATAGCCATGGCTACATCCAATTCTATATTGAACAGGGCCGGCCACAAAAAGAATCTTTGTCCAATTCCTGCAGCATTCCTACATGATTTTGTTCTTCACAGGCCCACATGTTGCTGAAAAGCTTGTGTAAGAATTAAACATAATAATAAATAAATATCAAGTGCTTTAAACTTACAGAAGCCAGTCAACTGCAATGATCAGAGTAACATCTTCGGCTGGCAGGCCAACAGCACTCAGTACAATCACCATGGTGACTAGTCCAGCTTGGGGGACACCAGCAGCTCCAATGCTGGCTGCTGTAGCTGTGACACTAAATCCCAAATAAAGACAGAAAAATGCATTCAGGATACGTTCTGCTCACAGTAGCTCTATTTTCTGGCACAAACGGGCATATTTCACTGCAAGGAAGAAATCCAAATATTCCAGTTTTCTTGTTGACTAGTATCTACTCAGCATGTGGGGACAAGTCAGTTGGACAAGTTTGAAACAGTGCCATCACAGTTCCTAACACTTGAAGCAGAGTCCAAGCAAACAACTGTTAGGATTACAATGCAGAATAAATAGATAAATGCACGTCCAACATACAACTTAAATCATATGAAGATGCTGAGTTGGGTTTGCAAGTGCTTACTGTGAGATGATAACAGCAATTTCCCAATATACCTTGGCCTAGCCCACCTTCTCACCTGGATGCATAGGCTCTGGAACAAGATATGAGAATTATTCTGTTTTCTTCTGTGCTGTGAATGATAGCTTCAACTCTCCCATAAGGTATTCAAAGTAAAATCATTCATTAAAAAAAACACCAACAAAATGCATGTCTTGGCTTTAGTCTTACCTAATGGTAACTATTTGGCCAATATCCAGTTCCAAGTCATTCAGTTGTGCAATAAATACAGCTGCTACTGCTTCGTAGAGAGCTGTGCCATCCATGTTGATGGTAGCTCCAACTGGAAGTACAAACCTGGTAATTCTTTTATCAATGAAGTTTTTTTCTTCTGCACAGCGGAAGGTGACAGGCAAAGTTGCTGAACTGGCACACAGATAAACACAGAAAGTAAGCACAGGTGATATACCATTTCCTTTATCTTTTCTTTCCCTTACAGCCTGATTTGCAGACAGGAGGGCTGCAATATGAAAGTGAAGAGTTGGGTTTTAAAGCAAAACTATCTTTGCTCTTTCTTCAAATTACAGGAAGAAATAACAAAGTCTTAGTTATCCTCAAAAATACACATTAAAATTTTCATAATGTATGTAACACTGAAACAGCCTAAAGCAGGTCCATGAGTAATTAACTGAATGGCAAAAAAATATTTCCTGAATTTGCATCTGGAAGACCAGACTCTACTTTGGAGAAAGGCCAGCACAGCTTCACTACAATCTATACTTCCCTTTTGGGTACTGCAGAAATAACCTCAAAAGTAATATTTCAACCCTCCAAGGTATTTACAATTGTCCAGGTGAAACAGATATGTAACAAAGTGACAATAAAATCAGAGCACAAACAATGCAATTACTACTATAAACATAACAGAAAATAAATGTTACTTTTGTTTACCTGGAAGAAATCATGAGGGCTGTCAGAAGTGCCTGAGCCATCCCCATGGCAAAACGAAAAGGATTTTTCCTTACTATTATTAAGTAGATCAGTGGCAGAATTACAGTGGAATGGATTGCAAGGCTGCAAAAGAAAATGGAATAGTTAAATTGATGGATAGATTTCATTGCCTTGTTTCAATGATAAGACGGTCATAAATGACATCTAATTCTGTCTTCAAATACAATTGTGAAACTCTCAGAGACTTTAGTTACATCTATCTTTAATACTTAGAGAACAATATTCTATTTAAAAGTCCACATCTATTTTGTGGAAAATTGTGTAAGCCGAGGTCTACAATTCAGACGTCTACAATTCAAACATGGCTATTTTACATTGATTCTATATATTAAACTGAGATACTTCAGACTGTACAAATGCGATATATGTAGTCTTACATATATCTTTCACGTTGTAAGGTGCTGAAATACTGTGTTTTGAAACTATTACTTTTTAAAATTAAGTGTGTAGACATGCAATGATGAAATTGTCCTCCTGACTTTACACATTGCTCAGGTATCTTTGGATATTTGAGTGTGTTTCAGGGACATAGTCACCCTTCGAACATTGTGCATTAATCCTGAATGCATATGCTGTAGAGTTTTGTGGCCATTAAGATTATAGGCAAACAGCCTACTATGGGTATATTTGAAATTAAATATATGTGAATAGTCTGTGAAGTATTTCCTATATTCCAAAATCAAAAGCCATCATGGCAACATCAGCTTTTTTGAAAAGAAATTATCACAACATGGAAACACAAAACCCAGAAGTGTTGCATATATGACCTTGGTATTTTTATTCTGTCCTCACAAGATAGTCTTGCAAATGTATAATAATAATAAAGCACTGTGCTGTAACAGTGCTTTATGATTTAGAGTACTTGATAAAGATGACAATAAATCATAGTGCCATTTGTTCCGACAAAACCAGGCAATTAAGAGCAAGAGCCACAGCACAGAAATTTACAAAACCAGTAAAAAGGCCCTGACATTTAGCTACTTGTTTCCTTGGAAAAATGATCTTGTTAAAGACAACGGGAATTAAGTTTTCACTCTTTATGTGAAAAATGTTTTATTTATTGGAATGTACAAGAGAGCACACAACATATATCCATAAAGTTCTGTAAAGAACTCTAGAAAGAAACATAAAAATTTATAAAACAGTGCCTAAGAACAAACTGAATTACGCAGAACATGTAGACAAAATATAAAAACTTGGATATTGTTGGGTGTCTTAACAAAAATGACGCGAGTAAACTTCTCAAGTAATGTCTACATCTACAAACATAATGACTTCCAAATAAAGTTATTTTGAAAATTTTAGATCTGCACTTTGCACCATAAACATGGCATTATCCAAAATAACATTTGTGCATATCTATTTTGTTACTACTGATTTTCATGAAACAAATTTGAAGAAATATTTATTTGCATGTATTAAACACAACACATAACAAGCAGCAATTAAACACAACACATAACAAGCAGCAATTTTTATTTCTCAAAATAGCATTCTTTCAGCATTCATGTAACTGTCTTGCTGCTTTCAGAAGAGACAAAGGCAAAGACATGGCCAGATGGCTTGCTGCAGCTTCCTTTCTCCTTTAGGCTGAGAGTTCTCTGGTTCATTATGCCTCCTATTTTGATTTTTCTCCTCTGTATCTGCTAACATATCCTAATCCTGACACTGCTGCTCTAAAAAGTGATGGGATGAAGACATTTTCTGGGCAACAGGAGCAGAGGCATTAGGGGAAGATTATTGCTTTGTGTTGACCTAAATAGAGGCTGAGATATGTCGCAGACAAGGGTGGGAAAGAGCTGGTAGGGTCAAGGATGTAAAAGGTCATGAATAAGAAAGTTGGGAAGAAAGTGAGGTGTATAATGAGTTGGAGAGGGAAGAAAACGGAAAGGAAGAGGAGGATAAGACATACAAGCTCTTGTGATCTTGCACACTTTTCTTGCTAGTGAAAACAAGAAGTATGTTTGAGACATCCTGTAACTCTTAAGAGTTACCTTAAAGGAAGGATAATAGAGAAATGGCTACAAAAGATGTACATGAACAGAAAACACCACAAACATGAGGCAAATAATGATGAAACCTAAAATGATGGTGGGAAGAGAATCCAAAACAAAGAAAAAGCACAACTCCTACGGTTTGAAGAGCGATGGGAAAAAGGGCATTCCTGAAGGCCAGAAAATATAGAATGGCTTAGACTGGAGGGACCTTAAAGATCATATAATTCCAACACCCCTGCCAACACCCAACCTCACACTAAAATAGGTTGTTTGAAGCCCCATCCAATCTGGCTTTGAACACTTCCAGGAATGGGGCAACTTCTCTCAGCAACCTGTTCCAGTGCCCCACCACCTTCGTGGGAAAAAATGTCCTCCTTATATAATCTAAACTTAACCTTTGTTAGGTTAAAGCCAATACTCCCTGTCTTCTCACTACAGTCCCTGACAAAGAGTCCCTCTCCAGCTTTCCTGTAGATCCCCTTTAGTTATGGGAAGGTTGCTATAAGGTTTTCCTGGAGCCTTCTCTTCTCTTGGCTGAACAACCCCAACTTTTTCAGCCTGTCTTCATAGAAAAGGTGCTCCAGCCTCTTGATCATGTTTGTGACTCCATCCTCTCAACTGCTTTTAATACATCCATGTCCTCCTTGTGTTGAGGACCCCAAAGCTGAATGCAGTATTCCAACTGGGATCTCAGGAGAGCAGACTAAAGGGGCAGAATCACCTCCCTCAACTTGCTGGCCACGCTACTTTTGATGCAGCCCAGCATATGGTTGGCTTTCTAGGCTGTAAGCGCACATTGATGGCTCATGTCAAGATTCTTGTCAACCAGCACTCACAGATCATTCTCATCAGAGCTGTTCTCAATCCATTCTCCCCCCAGCATGTATTTGTATTTGGGATTGCCCTGACCCAGACACAGAACCTTGTACTTGGCCTTGTTGAACCTCCTGAGGTTCGCACAGACCTACCTCTTAGACTTGTCCAGGTCCCCCAGGATGGCATCTCTTCCCTACTGACTACACCACACAGCTTGGTGTCATTGGCAAAATTGTTGAGGGTGCACTCAATCTCACTCTCTGTGTCACCAACAAAGATGTTAAATAGTGCTGGTCCCATTACTGACCCCTGAGGAACACCGCTTATCACTGATCTCCACCTGGACATTGAGCCATTGACCACAACTTTTTGTGTGCAACCATCCAGCCAAAGCCTTACCCACCAAGTGGTCCATCTGTCAAAGCCATGTCTCTCCAATTTAGAGACAAGGATATCATGGGGGATACTTTGCGCAAGTCCAGGTAGATGATGTCAGTTGCTCTTCCCGTATCCACCAATACTGTAAGCCCCTCTTAGAAGGTCATCAGATTTGTCAGGGACGATCTGCCCTTAGTGAAGCCATGCTGGCTGTAACCAATCATGTCCTTATTTTCCATGTGTCTTAGCATAGTTTCCAGGAGGATCTTCTCCATGATCTTGTTGGGCACAGAAATGAGACTGACTGGCCTGTAGTTCTCCAGGTCCTCCTTTTTTCCCTTTTTGAAAGTGGGACTGCCACGACTTCTCATATATGATGGGGAGAGGCTTAGCAGCTGCATCTGCCAGTTCCCTCAGCACCCTTGGATGCATCTCATCAGGTTCCATAGGCTTGTACACCTTACAGTTCCATAGATGGTCTTAAACCAGATCTTCTCCAACACTGGGTGGCTCATCATACTTCCTGTCTCTGCTTTTGCCTTCTGGGGCCTAGGCCTTGTACCTGGCGCTCTTGTCTGTGAAGACTGAGGCAAAATATTCATTAAGTAGCTTAGCCTTCTCCATATCCTGGCTGACCTCCTGGAGAAGGCCCACAATTTCCCTCATCTTCCTTTTATCACCACTTCATCTATAGAACCCTTTCTTATTGCCCTTGATGTCTCTAGCCAAATTTAATTCTAAAAGAGCTTTGGCATTCCTAACCTTATCCCTGGCTGCTCCATCTTGTTTCCACTTGTTTACACTCTCTGTAGGCCTTCTTTCTGAGCTTGGTCAGGAGCTCCTTGTTCATCCATGCAGCTGTCCTGGCATTTTTGCCCAATTTCCTCTTTGTCGGGATGCATTGCTCCTGAATTTGAAGGAGGTGGTACTTGAATATTAACCAGCTTTCTTGAGTTCCTCTTCCCTCCAGGGCTTTATCCCATGGTACTCTACCAAGCAGATTCCTGAACAGAGCAAAGTCTGCTCTCCCGAAGTCCAGGATAGAGAGTTTGCTGTGCTTCCTCCTCGCTGCCCTCTGAATGCAAAACTGCACCATTTCACGATCACTGCAGCCAAGGCTGCCCTTGAGTTTCACATTCCCTACCAGCTCCTGCCTGTTGATGAGAATGAGATCCAGCACTGCACCTCTCTTCTTTGGCTCTTCTGTCATTTGGAGAAGGAAGTTGTCATCAATGTATTCCAGGAACCTCTTGGTTTGCCTCTACCCTATTGTGTTGTCACCCCAACAGATATCAGGGTTGTTAAAGTCCTCCATGAGAACCAGGGCTTGTGAATGTGAGGCTGCTTCTATCTGTCTATAGTGAGTTTCATCTGCTTGGTCTTCCTGATCAGGTGGCTTGTAGCAGACCCCCACTAGGATGTCCCCTGCCCGTGCCCTACCTTTAATCCTGACCCATATGCTCTCTGTCAGCTCCTCTCCCATCCCCTGGCAGAGTTCTATGCACTCCAGCTGCTCATTGACAGAAAGGGCAACACCGCCTCCTCGTCTCCCTTGCCTATATCCTTCCATCCTAACACTCCAGTCCTGGGAGCCATCCCACCATGTCTCTGTAATGTCAATAAGATCATAGCACTGCAGGTATGCAAACACCCCTAACTTCTCTTGTTTATTTCCCATGTTGTGTGTGTTAGTATAGAGATATTTGAGTTGGGCCCCTGATGAAACTAACTTACTGGCTGGAGTGGCTGGTATTACTTTGTGCTGCTCTTCAGGTGCTTTCCTGCTGACTCATGATCCTTCTCCAGGCTCTGGACATCTATTGCTGACACTGGCATCAAACTGGGAGAAGCAGATTGGTTCGAGGTTCCTGTCACATGGCAACTGTAGTTTGAAGCCTTCTTCACCAGCTTGGAATGTCTATGACCAAAGATGCTCTTCCCCTTCTCTGAGAGGTGGATCCCATCAGCCCCCAGCAGACAAGGTTTCTCAAAATGAGTCCCACAGTCTAAGTAGCCAAACCCCTGTCTGTGGCACCAGTCCTACAACCATCTGTTGATTTGCCAGAATCCATTGGCCCTATCAGTCCCCTTGCCTTTGACCAGCAGGGCTGATGAAAAAAACTACCTGCATTCCTGTCTTTTATTGCTGCTCCCAAGGTTCTGCAATCCCTCTTGACACTCCTCAGACTGCTCTTGACTGCATCATTGGTGCCCACGTGAAACAGCAGCAGTGGATAATAGTCCTTATGTATGAGGCTGTATGAGGCTTGGCAGATAGGACAGGCACCTTTTTCCTGCAGCCTACAACCTTGTGCGTACAGTGTCATCTTTGCTTCTATGATCTAATATACCCTTCTTGCTGGTCAGTTTTGCAGAGAATGTTTGCCATTCTCTACAACACCCTGATCATCAGCCTCTGTAGGCCTTCCCATAAGAGACAGAAATGCTGTACTAGCAGGCATCAGGGAAAACTGTGACCTGCGTAATGGAGTTCAGTGGAACACATACTTTTTCTTGCCAAGGATATAATGGTGGGCACCCTTGCTGCATGCGTTGTTGTTTGGTTGTTACCAGGTAAACAGGTGTCTTTATGTGGTGATACTTAGCAAAGTATCTGGAGAACGTACTGTGTCTTCACGCACATCCTAAGGAAGACATGTCCTGTTACAGTGCAAACAGTAACAATTAATAGGTAAGCAACCATAAAGTTTGCTATCTGATCTAAAATTGAAGCCGAATGGTAGTCAAAATCCATCTAACATATTCCTCCTCTGAATTAACAGGCTTTAATAACATAGAAAACGTGCAGAAGTTATACAGTGTCATTCTATAAATGACTTCTGCCTAACTTCTGGTCATGATCTCATTTATAGTTTATAAAGAAAGTATTAGCCTCATGATTTATAGTCTCCTGGTAAACATCAACGTGTGCATCCTTTAAAAATTAGATTTATTTTCCAAGATGAAACAGAAAATAAGAAAGAACCAGTGCATAAAATAAGAAAAAAACATTATGTATTAGACAAACACAACTATCACTCATCTCTATACCATTTTTGAAAGTGATAATTCACTGCTATTTCTGCAGCTGTAATTTTTATTTCGAAAGTCATCACTTCTCAAATATGTTTTGAACAGCTAGTCCAAACATGCTGGCTTATGCACAAAACAACACAAAAACTCTGAAATAAATATTATCTAGAAAAAAATCATGCAAAAAAGAGATCCTTCCTGATTCTTTATAAAGAAGTTTGCAATTAAGACTAAAATATTACCCTACTCTTTGCTTGTTAGTCAGAAAGTGCGTGAATGACATTTGAAGAAAATATCACGGATACGTATAAAGCAGTGGGAAAGAAGCTCTTGAACAACTTTGGATCTAGCCTCTAGACAAAATATGAATAAATCCATAGCATACTGAAGGAATTATAGGAGTGAATGAATGAATGAAGCAATGAACCAAGACAGCCTAGAAGTTATATTTCACTGAAATGGAAATATAAATTTAAATGCATTTAATTTATTAGGACCATAAAATCTATTTATCTTTCCAAAGGTTTCTTTGTAATAATTTTCTTCAGAGATGTATAATGATCTAGTATTACAATGAATACCATTTGAAGCAGTTAAGTTGCCCCTTCTAAGGTTCTGTAACTGCAAAAGAATTTCTTCAGGTGTAACTGCTTCAGCCTCAGACTGTTCTACCCAGTCAAGCATATACAAAAAAAATAGCAAAAATGTTTTGGTGCTTGTTTATGTTATGCAGATAGCAACTGCTACTTTTCCAGCTTTACCAGCTATTTTTGTGCTGATGGAATGGTGTGATCCCCAGAGCTACTCTCAGTGTTAGCTGCCTTCTCTGTGTTGGAGTGGGATAGGATCAGTTTCCTCTTTGGCATCATTTCTCATGCAGTGCGTTTACTTTGCATTTGTATTGGGCAGTGCAACTGATATAACTTGGTCCCAGAGATCCCATAGATATTTTCAGCTTTATACAAGTGTTCATGTATGTTCATTGGCCTGGAAATGCCCTCTAAGTCATGATTCACCTTACCCTTCCCCTTTTCCAATTTTTTCTAGTTTTTAAAAGAAGCAATGTGACTTTCAAAAATCATAGAATCATAGAATATCCCGAGTTGGAAGGGACCCATGAGGATCATCAACTCCAACTCCTGGCACCACACAGGTCTACCCAAAAGTTTAGACCATATGACTAAGTGCACAGTCCAAACCCTTCTTAAATTCAGACAGGCTTGGTGCTGGGGAGCCTGTTCCAGTGTGCGACCACTGAAACTTCTTGGTGAAGAACCTCTTCCTGATGTCTAGCCTAAACCTCCCCTGCCTCAGCTTGACACCATTCCCCCAGGTCCTATCATTGGTGACTAAAGAGAATAGATCAGTGCCTTCCCCTCCACCCCGTCTTGTGAGGAAGCTGTAGACCGCGATGAGGTCTCCCCTCAGTCTCCTCTTTTCCAGGCTTAACAGGCCAAGTGACCTCAGCTGCTCCTCATATGTCTTCCCCTCTAGGCCAGTCACCATCTTCATAGCCCTCAAATACAGTGATATTATCTGTTTCAGCATCACTTTGAGAAGATGAAATAGTGAATACAAGAATAGCCTTTTTTTTTTTTTTTTTTCCTAAGAATTCAAGGCACTTAGATTTTAAAACAAATCATACATTCAGCAAAACGTGTATTCGAAACATTCTCATACAATTTGCATTGACAGAATTTTTTGTCTCTGACCTAGGAGACACTGGTTGCTGTAGATAATTACGTTGTAATCAACTAAGCACCAAAATTGCATACATTTAATTTAATCTTTACAAAATGACATACCCACTTAACACTGTAGCCATATAAAGACCCAGTTTACGAAAGATTTCCCAGTCCTCAACTTCTATTATCTTCCCAGCAATTAAAAACACAATACCGATTGGCATATACCTAGAAAGCAAAAGTAAAGCAATTAAAAAGGAATTCTCCAAAATACTGCATGCTCAACAAGTCACAAGTGGCTATAACCTTACTTGAAGGTGGAAGTTTGCAGGGATGAGACCAAGATTTTGTGCTCTGATCACACAGAGATGGGAAAGGTCTCCTGCACTTTCAGGAACTGCCCTGTAGCACTGGGAACTCTATGTGAATCACCTACACAAAAGAGTCATTTTAATGTTGGGATTGCACAGTCATCAGTTTGTTGTTTGATGGAAGGGTCCCCGTCCAAATAGCTGCATTGGCTGCTGCCTACAGCAGACAAATTCAAGGCAAAATTCAGGGCTTATGCTAGCACCAGTTCCTCTGCATTCCTTTCACTACCACAGAACAGGCTGTGACACAGACAAGATGCCAATTTTCAGCTTTGATAAATGTAATATAAATTCATTTATAAATTTGTGAGTTTATGAAATTTATACGTTTTAAAATATTAACTTATAAAAATGTGTGTGTGTTATCTCACAAACACAGTAGTACTTTCCTCTGGTGCAAAGTAGAGGGTCCTAGTTCCTGCTCAATGCTGAACTTGGCGAAAGGAAAACTAATTCCTCATACTGCCAGTGTCCATCTTTACCTTATACAAAGCAACAGCTCCCACATCTCTAGAGACACAAGGAGCCAGAAGTCAGACTCAGGCACATGCAAAACAAAGGGTAGCTTATGGGTAGGATCCTGTATTTGTAGCATATGCTAATTTTGGGGTCTCTTTAGTGGTAATTTGCTGCAGAGTGATGCAGCCTACATGTATTCCATGGGACTTTAACTCAGTTAGGCACCAGATTTGGAGTGTCTAGCACAGTACAAACTGCAGAGACTAAGGTATCTCTAAGGCAGCAAGAAGTGTGCAGCTAAGCCCTGGACAGGTTTACTGGTTTGCAGACATCTCAGTGTGCTGAAATGGAGGGAAAATAAATGGAAGGGAAGGATCTGCTAAGCTACTGTTAGTGTGAAACAAGCAAGGTGGATACAGGCAGAATACACAGCAAATGGCACAATGCATTCTCCATGTAGGATCAAACTCTGGAAAACATTGGATGTGCTTGTAGCGCTGATCCTGTAATTGCAATCTGCACAACTACTGACTGCACAGACACAAGCTTTGTGAATACCTCCGAAGTCCAACTAAACACCACCAAATGTGTTACTACTTTCTATTTTTTTCCCATCTGGGAACATTATGTGAGAATATTGTGAGAATGGTATCTCACAAAGCCTATTAGCACAAGGAAAATGATGCCAAGTTGTGTCTTGCATATCATTTTGGATTTTGCTCTATATTGTGGCTGGTATATTAAATTTTATTACTAAAGGAACTCAGCTCCTAGGATAGTTACCCTGTGAACATAACGGCTATCAGGGAATAGTGTTCAAGACTGAGAAAGGTATGTGGGTGATTCTTCTACAGTCCTCAAATCACTAGCACAGTTGTACTGGTTTGATATAAACTTCCAGTGACAATGTCTGAAAAACTCAAGATTCTTATGTACCAATGGGATTGCTCCTTTAGTTTATAGTAAGTGGAAGCCTTGTCTCCAGTTTCCTCTAAGTGATCAAATTCTGTATAAATGAAACTGTTTACCAGCCTTCCTTTAAAGCTGTTTGCTGAAGAGCACACATACAAAAGCAAACATCTGAGTCAGTCTGAGTCTGAGTCTGCTCTTACTTTTTCAATGACAAAACCCCGTTAAAGAATTAATTAGAAAACGCCAGTATACCCTTGGACTTACCACATAATTATCTGAACTATTCTCATTGTAGCTTCATTCAGTGCATTGAAAAAATCCACAAGCACTTGGCCTTTCTCTCCCATTTTCCCAATAACCATTCCAAAAACAAGACAAAAGACGATCAACCCAAGCACATTGATGCCATCAGAATACGAGCCCACGATCTTGTATTCTTGGGTTTTGTTCTATAGATCAGAGTCAAGGAAAAAAAGTTACAACCTGAAAACACAGAGTTTACTTTAATGAGTTCTAAAATGAAAGCATAATTATATCTTTCTTTGGAAAGATATGGAGCTCTTCCCCAGATACTCCATTTCCTTTCGGGCATTGCTGCATGGGCAAGGTCAGGAATGAAGATAGAATTAAAACTGCCTTTAAAAGCTTTGTATTTTAAGGCTATGCAATGATTTGATCACATCCTAGGGGAGAGTAAAGCACCCCTTAATTTATGTTGTCCTTTACAGACTTCTGACAGAAAGAATGGCAAGGTCCAGGTATCCTCAGTCATGCCTTCATTGTACTCAATACTTACTCCCTACTGTGGTGAACAAACCTCAGGTGATATAGAATCCCTGTGGTCATTTCTAAGCAGCTCAAGAGCTTTTGTCCAGATATAAGATAAATACTCCATTGTGTAAGACCTGGGATGATGCTGTTCAATTTTGCCCCCATTTTAAAATCTACTTTTCAGCTGAAGTCAGTGAAATTGCATAACTTATACTAGAGTTTGAAGCACATCATATAAAAATCCTACTAAGTAGGTAGTTATTCGCACATTCCTCTGTGTTTGTACAGTATTAATATATGATGGGTGCATTTCCTCACTGAATCCTGCTTCAGGATTTAATTCATGCCCTTGCATATAACTCATATTCCCATGCTCTCATTATTATGTGATGAAATTTGGAAGGAGTACAGTAAAAGGAATATTGAACTTTTATTGTTCATAGTTTTGTGTTCATTGACTAATTAATTCCTTTCTTACTATTCTCCAGTGTAATTATAGACTTAACACACTGTCAATACCCATAAGCTTTCCAGACCTCTACTCAGAGGTTTGTTAAACATCTTTACTTTGGTCTCTTAACATTTTTTTACAGAACAACAAACTATTAAGTAACAAATAATTTTTATTATTTGTTTTCCACTTCAAAAAACAAAACAAAACAAAAAACCAACAATTTTCTATTTCTAATTGACAATTCACTTGCATATACATTTACTGGAGTATATGAATTCATTATTTTCCTACACAATCTATAATAGCACTAGAGCCATGAGGTTTTCTTAAACTTACTTGAAAATCCTCATAATCGGCTCTAGCGTTTATTAAATTTTTGTGGCCTCCCTAAATTATATTTATGTACCATTTCCATATTTCTCTCAATCATTAAGTGCAGTGTCAACTAAATCAAATTTAATCTATGTTCTTTCTTCGCACTTCATATATTATAATGGAATATAACAATAAAGGTCGCACCTCTGAAACCTCTGGTGTCGTAGCAGATGTAACAGATTCTTCTGTTAATATGGAGCTATTTTTATCCACAACAGTTGTAGCTTCCACTTTTTCACGTTTGGTTTTATACTGAAAAAGTTTAAAAAAAAACACAGAACATCTTATTTAGAAATATGGGGAAACTGAAGAATGAACAAAGGCATAAACGCCCCCTAAAAATAACAGGAAAATAAACCGATCTGATACACTAACACATGATTTCCCAATTAAAATGAGCCAACATTGCTCTGTTCTTCAGATAACTGTAATTCAAACAAGTGATTCAGAGGTAATGTACTATGAATTCTGCTCTCCAGACTCCCAGGTACTGTGCGAACCTGGGTGCAGTCTTGCAGTGGATGAGATATTGCTCCTGACAAAAGCAAAGGGATTTTTTTTTACTGGAACAGTCTAGAGAGAATCACCAACAGACACCCCAGGAGAGGTCTGTTGTGCCAATGCACTTGATACAAACAGAATGCTTGAACATGCTACACTGTTGGAGAAGGTGTGTCAGTCTCATCATCTACAGAGGATGCTGTAGCATCCTGCTCTAAGGATAATTACATCAATATTGTTTTATAGGGCCCACAAAAAGAGGGACTTGTCTACCTTCATTCTTTCTATGAAGTTTAGTACAGGACTTTATACTTCCCACAAGGCAGAAGAGTTGCCTCTGAAGTCAGTGACAGATGAAAAAAATCTACAGGGAGAAGTTTTGTAAACTGGAAATATGTTCAGTGTTATACACAGCAGGACAGTTAACATCATTTTCTAATGGGAATAGTAAATTACCCCATTTAAAAACTTCAGAGCAACTGGTAGGCAGCAACTGAAGGAGATAAAAAGGGAGAGACCATCACAAAATACAGTTTGATATATTTATGGATAAAGATGACTGAATCTGAAGTAAGACTGAGACAGGGGATTCCTTTTTCAACTTCCAAATCTCACTGCTTCTGAAAAGAGATGTCTCAAATAGACTCTAACATCTGGCTACCTTTTCCTAAAGATGAACCAGCATCACTGGTAATGGACATTTGATGTGAGACATAGTGGGGTGAAGGCTGAGGTATGCAAACTTCATCAGACATGGAGGGATTTAAAGAATGTGGGAGTACATCCTCATGACGTTTTCCTTGTAACACTGCCTGTCCCAAAAGTGAAAAACTTAAATATTAATACATTGCTTGATTTCTGCATCCAGCTCCTAAACAGAGGCTTTTTGCAAGGGATGATCAAAAGCTGACAACAAAGTATTTTTCATAATGGAAACAAAACCAAAATGCCTTAAAAGAAGTCTTTTTATGGGGGAATAAAATACTCAGGAATTTCTAAGAAATTATTCTAAAATGACATAGTTTAGGGGAAATAAAATAACAATAATTTGTAGTTAGCAATGAAAACTACAGTAACAAAGAAGGGTGTTCAAACTCACCTGTTGAAAACAGGCTTGGACAAGGTTTTCTGGGAACATATTCCTGTTAAAGAAGTAGAGGCATTTCAACACTATACTAAGAACAAATTGTTTATCTGAATAAAATGATAAAATTCACTTCTTAAAAAATAGATCAGTTTTTGTTCCTTTACCCAGAGAACAATGTGGTTAGCACTGACAGAGCTGAAGTCCAGAAAAATCAAAGGTTCAGGACTCCTAAGGACCAGTACACTGTCCCCATAAGGTAGAATCCTTGGGCTTATTTTTCAGTATTTGCTTGTTAGCTACTGAAGTTTTTTGTTTGTTTTGTTTTTCCTACTGCATCATTTCCATCTATTGTACAAGGAGTACAAGGAGTACAGGAGACAGTCTGAAGTCTTTTACAGAACTTCTAAAATATATGCTGGAAATAAAGAATAACTCTTACAAACACCCTGCTGGAAGCACCAGATATGTGGTATGTTCTATTGTAGTTCTGAAATATTAAATTAATCTTGGCTTATGGAAGATTCCCCTGTGTTATTCCAGGGTCAAGGGCTGCTTTCATGAACTGAAAAATTAGGAAATTAGGTCAGAAGAAGTACAATCCAGTTGTGTCTCTCCTTTCCTATGGCCAATTTCACATTCAAACAATTCCAGAAAACAGCATTAATTAAGTATTTATTGAATATTCAACCTATTTTCTAGAGAAAGATAGTTTCTATAATGAAGCAGAATTTGTTATGTCCCTTCCATATCTTGTACACACTTCTGTCATTATTTTTCAAGTTTTTAAAGCAAAATTTCATTTAAGACAAGAGTAGTTTGTAGAAGTCTGGGATTTGCACTACTCTTTACAAGACTGTCTGGATTTGGATCGTAAATCTGATGAATACACAGAAAAAAGTGACAATAAATCTTTTAAATCAGAGTTTTAGACCTCAACTGTAATTCCTAATTTACAGTCTTCTATTTGTTTGCAAGAAATTGAGCCATGAAGCGTAAAACCCAGAGTAGTCGAAATTATGGTTCTTATTATACTAAAAAAAAAAAAAAAAAAGGAGTGCATGTGCATGCAGTGCATGGAGTTTTCATCATCATGTCCTTTTTTCATGTCCTTCAGCATGTCCTTTTGTGCATGGAGTTTCATCATCTGTGTGAATATGTATGTACATATTCACGTGGAAGTTAGTGGTAAATGACTGCACTATGTTTTATTATGTGGCTGATCACAGTGCCCTGCTGTTTATACCTGGGGCAAACAACCATGTGTAATGAGATGAATACTCCACAGAGCTGCCATTTTGGTCATGCACAAGCAGGAAAGAACAGCTGTGGATAGTTGAATGTGAGGTTGTGGGGTTGAGGGCTATTCACACCAAAGAGGGCTACCTTGATCTGGGCTGGGGCAGAGATGTGCCAGATGACAACAGACATTTGCTATTAAATAGGATACATATGCAGATACATACATACATTATATATATATATATATATACATGTATATTAAAAAAATGGCAAAGAACTGTGGATCTGGAGTTACATCTGCAAATGTCAGTCACATTTCACGAAATGAAGAATGCTGAGAAAGCCACTTTTAGATACATAGTTGAATCTTACATGATAGATTAAGTAAAACTTCTAGGAAAAAAAAACAGTGGCCAACTCTGTTCCATGATATGGAACAGAGACTAACTGCAGCTGAAGAAAAAAATACGTAGAAACATTTGTGAGGGAACTATTTAGCTACTATTGGAAATGCAGCCTTGTTTTTCTGGATTTTGCCTAATTCCTAAACATGTCAAAATTTATTCAATTCCTATTAATTCTGAAAACCCACTCAAGTCTTTTGCAGACTTTGCAGAGGCTGCTTTCTTCTACCACTTTACATACCTATCATTTACCAGGATGCTATTGGAGACAGACTCATGATAAGGCTGTCTTCCAAAACATTGATGAAATATTTTTAAGGAAACCACTTCGAATACGCTAAAAAATGTCTAGCCTCTTGGAATACATATTACTTTCTACTTGTTCATTCCAAAAATATTGGAAGGTGTTTTCATTGTATTACATATTACAGTTTTACTATTTTCAGAATTTATTCTGCAAAAAGGGAATGGAAACAAAAAAAAAATCTCACCTGATCAGATCCAGCATGGCATCAACAGTACTGACTTCTGGGGTGCTGCCCACTCTGTCAATCTCATCTGCTGTTTGAGGCACTCCAGGTTTAATAGTCACAACTAAGACAATCCCTTAAGAAGGAGAACCAGGAAAACAGTTCACAGTGCAAGCAGAGGTATTGACACATCCTGTCTGTGTAATGCACCTTGTGTAATTAAAATCTTCATGAGCTAAACTCATCAAATGTTCTTTGCTTTGGTAAAACTAGCTTACAGCAATAAAGCAACATAAGTAGCGTCAGAAACAAATAAAAATCTGGGGGCAGGAATTGTTAGGTCTAAACTTGTCACTACTGAAATCAGTAACTAATTTTCCACTGACTTTAGTGGCTTCATTTTAGGCGTTTTTAATATTACACAGAAATGCTAGCCCTTTCCAAATATACAGTTTTGATTTTCAAAATCCAAACTGCATTTATGTAACTCTGCACAATGAAACAAGAAATATCATAGTATCATGCAACATCTTATATTAACCTCTTAGATTAACCTCTGGAGGTTCTCTGGTTTAACCCCTCTTTTAAGACAGGGACAATTTCAAAGCTGGATCCAGATAAAATATGTCAATTTTTATTAAGTCTGTGTATTCATTGAAAATTCCCGGACAGATGAGATGTTATCCTACACAGTGTAACTGCAGTGATATATTATTACTCTCCATAATGCAACCTCGAGGAACGACTCTAGCCTCATATGTCTGTATGTGATACTTTATTGTTAAATATTGTTTTGGTTTATAAGTAGGCTACATACAACGCACATTTCATACTTCAAATAAATATATAATAGTTTATTTTTAGTGGATGATACCTGTGCATAGTATTAACTTGAACTCAACAAAACACAAAGGCAATCCACAAATGACATGACAGCTGACAGCACAGGGCGTAATTTTATTTCTCTTTAAGAACACAGACTGAAGATTTCTGCTCAAGCAAATACGTGAGTTTTCAACGCTGTTTGTAGGGAATGAACTCTCTGCAAGAGGAGATGTGAACTTCTGAGTAGCGGGAGTGGAGCCTGGTAGTTCCATAAGGGATAAAAAACTTATAGGAAGGGAACTGGATGACACAGAAAGCCATGTTTTCTCCCACTCTTTCAGGTGAAATAAGTAATACATTCTTGCATCTGAGAATTTATCATCGTACTATTGAATAGCAGGACTAACTTCCCCCTGCATCTATCTACAAGTGTGTATAATGGTGTTTGTATGATTCCTGAATCTCCTCTCGATACTTTCTTGGCAAATTAGTATTGCCATAGTGCTGTATACATGTACTTCTAATTAGGCAATGATATGGATTTTAATAGCATTTTAACTTTTTACAGAGTACCTAGTATTACAGCAATGACTGTAGTGCAGAAATAATATATGACTGCTCGCAAACCAATCTTCCCAGAAACACTGGAATCCAAAGCAGCAACACCTGCAAAAAGAACCACAAAAACAAAATGCTAAAAAATAGTCTTTAAAGAAACTAGATATTTTTGTAGAGGCTTAACTCTATGCAGGAAATACTTCATTATTCTAGATATTTCTAAACACTTCATTAGCAGTTGCACTTCCGAAAAATTTCTGCAGCAGTCCAACGTGTTTGCTTTTTCTTCTTTACACTGTTTCACCTGGGCTTTTCTAGTAAAAAAAGTAATTGATCTCTTTCTGATTTCTTGGTGTAGGTGATGAATTAGACTTCTTGCATTCAATGAAAGCATGTTAGAATCTATTCCTATAATCACTTAACCACTTCACTTTCATCAGATCTATAACATTTTGGTTTTAAAAGTAAGGACGGTGGGAAGGGAGTTACTCAGGTCTTTTATCCCAGGTTGCTCAAAGGCATACACAGACAAGCCAGGCTCATTCCTAGCAGGCTTGCTTTTGTTAACAAGTTTTGTTGTTGTTGTTTTGTTTTGGATGAAAGCTGTTCTGCAGGGGCTGGGTTGTACCCATTACTCTGCCTGTATCTGTCATTGCCAGAAACTGAGGGCTGCTTTTGTCAAAGGAGGTGGGGAAAGTTCTGAGGAATGTGTTGTTCTGTGGTTAACCTAGCATCTGGCAGCAATATAATATCAAACTCATCATGAAGTGTTTCGTAATTGTTAAAATATTTACAGTTGTGTCTATAGGCATACAATTCAGTAACCAGGATAAAATGAGCATCATGACTGTAAAACTTGACTGTCTATAACGACACTGGTTAATAATTCACTGATATCTATTATACATTTGTGATCCGTTTATATTTTTATGTTTGCTGAGTCAGCTTATCAAAGTCTGGCCAGATATCCTTACCATGAGTATATTAAGCCCCAGAGAAACGTGATTTTGCAGAAAGAATTGTTTCAAAAACAAAGGAAAAAAAAAATCAAAGATTTCTGACACTACTGAACTTACTGATCTTTGAGCTCAGTAAGGAATGTAGCAAGCATACTTTAACCAGGTGTTGACCAAGTGTTTAACCAAGTATCTTCTTTCAGAAGATACTCTAACAGCAGCAACAACTTGTGCCTAGAGTATTCACATAATGCTTTACTTGCTCTGTTAATTGTTATTCAAAACGCAAACAACCCTGTTAGGGGAGAATGAAGGTTATTTTATTTCATCATCTATTCGATTACGTTAGGGTCTTCCACAAAACAGCATATTATCAGATCAATTGCAGAAGAACTATATACAAATGCAGAAATCATTACATAAAGACTATTTCACTTTACAGCAAATAATGGTAATAAAAATCTCTCCATATTGCAAGGTAGTAGAGACATGCACAGAAAAAAAAACAGTGCCACAGTAATTGCAGGAGGCTTGCAGCACTGAGGTGGTTGTTTGAGGAGCAAACAAGAGAGTGGACATAGAATCTGGGCTATGATTTTCATTTCTCACCTTGGCAACTGGGTAAAACACAGTGGAAAGGAGCCTGTTTGCAATGCTGTAGGATAAACTGTGGCAACTATGGCAGTAAGAACTCCTGAGATGGACAATAATAAGTAATGGCTTCTGTGGACAATGGAAGACTGTTTCAGTGGCTGTCAGTGCTAAAACTTACACACCTGCCATAATGACTTGGAAGATTTAACATCACTTTTTTTTTTTTTTTTTTTTTTAAGTGAACTGGTATTACCAAAGTTCCATATTTTTTAGCAAAAAGTTCATAAAAATTATAAATCACTGAATCATATAATGAAGCTTGCTTTATAGACTGTCAATAGCAGTCAGATGGCCAGTGGAGGTAAGATAGGATGGTAACATTCTCATGGGATGGAGTTCTTCACAAAACTTGTTTTATGATCTTTTTTTGCTTGACAGTCTTGCTGAGCCAGCATACAGCTCAATACACATGCAAGGTTATTTCCACAGAGTACTCATTTATAAAGATTCTACGATTAGTACGACACAAAATTCCTATGACAGCAATTCTGCTGTCTCCAAATAAAATCCCTTTCCAAACTACTATGTTCACTAAAGTCATAGAGGCATAATTAAAGGCAAACTTTGCCCTTGCATTTTTAAACTGAATAATGATCCTGTTAAAGAGTGAGCTGTGCCAGAATCTAGATTATGCTTCTACTGCAATGTTGGTGCTGCTTTCCTAGGATCTGTAAAAACTTGCAAATAAGTCAGGCAGACATGATTAAGTAAGTACAAGCATGCTCTAGCATGACCCATGACAAGTCTTTTTTGTTTGTTTGTTTGCTTTTTTTTTTTCCTGAAAACAGCTGTACTCTGAAACAAAATTGGATTCAGGATTATGCTTCCTTTTGAGAATGAAGTAGCATCCACTAGAAGTTCCACAGATAGGTTTACACAGGTCTATATTGTGATATGTAGGAAAACACTATATATAAAAATAGTTTGTTTGTTTTTTTTTTCCTGATACATCCCACTGTCATCAGTGAGTAAGCCATAGTATTTTATAATTGATAGCTATGGGCTTCTCAAGCCAACTGAGAAAAAAATTTCCACTGAAATAACACAAGTCTGTAATTTCTTTGTACACAACTGAAAGATTTAATTTAAGATGCACTAAACAAAGCATACAGCTTACTCTAGCTCATAAGAAAATTTGTTTCTCAAACTAACATGGCACATACGCTACTCAAAACAGAAAGCCTGCAGTGTTGTAAATAAAGATAAGAACAGAAAAACACTGTAGTTAAACTTGTGTATCTCCTGTGGATTGCCACTACATCTAGTTTATTTGCACTTTCCCTCCATTGACCAAATCCCAAGTTTTATACTGTTTGAACATGTTTAAGCAGATTGACTGCAAATGAAGCTTATAGAATTTTATTAGGCATGATGGATTCTCCTCCATACTTGAGCATTTCACATTTCAAAATTGATGTATTTCAAATCAGTCCCTTAGATTTTTTTTCAAGTGATATTCTAAATGAATCACAGACACAGAACCTCAAAAGAACAGCACAGGCACACACTTTGGCTTAAGATATGCTTCTGTATCTGGTCCTTTTTTATTTGAATATTTTGGTTGGTGCTGTGCCAGGAAGCCTTTCAATTTGATTTTCTTTCATTTTCAAAGCTGATATTTTTGCTTTATTACCAGAGGATTTTCAGGACTTTCCATTTTGAAAAAAGGAACCAAAAAGAAAAATGAACCAAAAGGGGTACAATATGAAACTTGCAAAAATCAAGAATGGCAAAACTGAATTATTACAGGTGATTAAACCTGTCTGTTTTTGTCCTATGTTGTGCTCTGCTACTGATTTTTGCACTTGGAATATGCCATGTTGCCTGAGTTAGAGAAAAGAAACACAGCTCTCCAACTCACTTTAGAAGCCCTGTCTACGTGGTGAAATGCATCAAACTAAGAGTTGTATTATAACTGAATGATATTCATCTGCAATTTCTGAAGTCTGTTTGAAATTTCTTAGAAAATCCTGTATATATTTAGAACTGCTTTCCGAAAATGTTCATGTATAAAGAAAGCTCCTTACACAAAGGCATAGTCTGATTTAGGAAAAGATGGACCTAAATAGTACATATGATGTTTCTGAAATTTTTACTGGTAGCCACTGATGGAAGTACAAATTATTCTTTTATGGGGAGCGGTGTTCCCCAGGGGTAAGTGCTGGGTTCAGTCTTGTTCAACATCTTCATCAACGACCTTGATAAGGGTCTGCCCACAGCAAGTACGCCGATGACACAAAGCTGGGAGGAGTGGCTGACATGCCAGAAGGCTGTGCTGCCGTTAAGCGAGACCTGGACAGGCTAGAGAGATGGGTAAGAAGAAACCAAATGAGGTTTAATAAGACCAAGTGTAGAGTCCTGCACCTGGGAAGGAACAACCACATTTATCAGTACAGGCTGGGGGATGACCTGCTGGAGAGGAGCTCTGAGGAGAAGGATCTGGAGGTCCTGGTGGATGATAGGTTGACCATGAGCCAGGACTGTGCCCTCATGGCCAAGAGGGCCAATGGGATCCTGGCATGCATTAAAAGGAGCGTGGCCAGCAGGTCAAGGGAGGTGATCCTCCCCCTCTACTCTGCCCTGGTCAGGCCTCATCTGGAGTACTGTGTCCAATTCTGGGCTCCCTGGTACAAAAAAGACAGGGATCTCCTGGAAAGAGTCAGGCAGACGGCCACAAAGATGATACGGGGCCTGGAGCATCTTCCCTATGAAAAAAGGCTGAGAGACCTGGATCTGTTCAGCCTGGAGAAGAGAAGACTGAGAGGGGATCTTCTCAGTGTATATAAAAACCTGAAGTGTGGGAGACAGAAGGATGTAGCCAACCTCTTCTCAGTGGTTTGTGGGTTTAGGACAAGGGGCAATGGCTGCAAGTTAGAGCACAGGAAGTTCCGCACTGACACGTGAAAGAACTTCACGGTGAGGGTGATGGAGCACTGGGACAGGGTGCCCAGGGAGGTTGTGGAGTCTCCTTCTCTGGAGATATTCAAGGCCCGTCTGGATGCCTACCTGGGCAGCCTGCTCCGAGGAACCTGCTTTGGCAGTGGGGTTGGACCAATGATCTTTCGAGGTCCCTTCCAACCCCTACAGTTCTGTGATTCTGTGATTTTAGTTTCTGACTTAGGGAAAATTACACATTAGTGTAACATAAGATTGCAATTTCAAGACCAATATTTACTAATATTTACTACTTTCTCTCTGAAAAGACTGTTGTTTGGTTTTTTTTTTTCCCTTTTTTGATGTCACAGGAACAGAGAACATTCCTAAACAAAACTGAACTTTGAAAGTTCTGGAAAAGTTGTAATTAAGGCTTGAAAAATCATTGAATTGTATGCTTCAATAGTAGTGACAACACAGAAAGACTCTTGAGAAACCCAATTATTTTCTGCATTTTTTGTGACACTTCTCTTTGTTTGCCTTGCTGCTTAGAAAGGTTGTTTTGGAACACTATGAACTGAAAACAGTTCTTACATTTTCTTGGTTTTTCCATCAACTGATGAT